TTCCCATTTAAGTTTACCTTTTCCAATCGTGTTATTAGATCCTCTAATAATGCATTAAGTTCTGTGCACATATTTAAAATAACGATTTCAAAATATTTTGGGATATAAAATTATAAGAAAGTTTCAATGAAATTGAAAACTACTAGTACGAATCCCGTGTGATGCACGGCTAATAAGAGATATTCATTAATATTTATAAATTTAAAATGCTCATTAAATAATATTTATAAATTAAGAATATGAGATCTATATGCAATACAATTTACCTATATTAATTTATTGATAATGTTATAAGAAATTTAATTTGTACAAAATTATATAAAATATGTCTATTTAAAATTATATTATATCCATTTCAAAATAAGTGTCGTTTTAAATTTTTTATTCAGAAATTGGATATGGCTACATTGTGATTCTATAAAATAATTATTTTGGTAATAATTATTTTCTGAATAATTATTTATTCAATAATTCGTTATGACTACAATGAGAAGACAGTAGTTATTAGGAACATACGAATAATGTGTAGCTTAATCAAAGGTTTATTTGACCTCTTGGTCTCTTAGACCTCATGGATTTGTCATCTTTTAAATGATAATAACAATAATATTGAATGTTTGTGTATGATAATGTGTGCAGCTTAATCAAAGGTTTATTTGACCTCTTGGTCTCTTAAACCTCATGGATTTGTCATCTTAAACCTCATGGATTTGTCATCTTTTAAACGATAATAACAATAATATTGAATGTTTGTGTATGATAATGTGTGCGTGAATGTATGATGCAAAAGTCATATATTTAAAGTGAACTTGAGTGTAATTTATTAAAACAAATAATTCCATAAAGATATCATTTAACTAAATTAATTCGTAGCATCAGGTGATATATAATAGATGGAATCCTCATTTTTTAAAATACATTTAGACAAGATTTTTGAAATTTAAAATTTAAATATAACTAATCCCATAATTTATGATAGCATTAAATGTGCCAGAATTTTTATAAATGAAAAATAAAAAGTTTGAAAAAACATTCCAAAAATAGAATTCAATTAATTTTAGCGGATTTTTTACTTATTATTTATTGACATACAAAATTGTATCAACACCAAAGTACCATACGAATTTATACAAATTTGTTGGAAAATATACTCTTTGTTCATATGCATTTTTCTTTGTTTTATCTCCTCATATGGAAATGAGGGAGAAGGATGAATAGTGAGGAAAGAGAGAGAAAAAGTCCCCCTTTACAATAATTGACCCCCTCTTTATAGGTCCTCCCATGAGTGTCCAAAAAATAAGGATTAAAATACTACAATACATTTAATGCTATGTGACAACCGAGGGGCCCACTTGTAATGATCGATGGTTTTGATTGACGTCTACTTTATTGGAAATTATCGTATCTACTGGGGCGACTTCTTCTTGATATATGTGTCATCTGATTACTTCGAGGTCTGCTCAGTTCGGTAGTGGTCGGACTCGTCGGCTGGGGACCCGGTCAGCTTTTAGGCGATCGGTCTTGAGAACCTATTTGTATATTTATTTATTATGTATTTTCGACCCCTTAGTTATCGGGCCGTTATCTATTATTTTATTTACCGTATTTAATCGGAGCCAAATTGGGTATCAACAGGAGGCCCCCGAGTTTAGGACATGTTCTGGATCAAACTGTTCTGAAGTCACGTTCATTTTTTACAATTTGACAGTGTTTTTGCCACATGATCTTTTGAGCTTCGGGTTCTGCATGTTTTGATTAGTAACGTTTACGTGATATATAAGATCACTTCTTTATGTCACCGGAGTTTACAAAATGGATAGTTGATATGTAATTTTTGGGTGCTTCGGGACCGTGGGACGCTTTGTTGGTTGTTTTAGGCTTTGGCCTGACGTATTTGTGCTAGTTGCGTTCTTCTGCACTTCGACAAGTCGAGTCAGTTGAGTGGGTGGACAATTCTTTAGAACTGCTATTGAATGAGGCATGAATGGCCTAGTTGGGTAATTTGGTACCCGTTTTTGCGTTTGTGCAATATGACATGCTCGCTGATATGATTTGTTTGGTGATTCTAAATTAACTGTATTTGCGGTTTTTTGTCGTATTGGGGTGATTCGAAAAACGATTTATGTGGTTATGTTAACATTTTATGTGGACCTAGTCGGATAACTCGGCCTCCGGTCTTTGGCCTTATCTTTGGTAGGAATGCATTTTGAGCCCTTGGTATTAGTGAACATATGGGTTCATTGTTTGAGGGGTGTTGAGTTGTTTATTTAAGCGAGCTTTTAGTTCTTTATGCCATGCAAGAGTGTACGCATAATGCGAGCATGTGATGAATGCATGAGTGTTCGATGACTGTATGTGATGGATGTTCAGTAAATGAGATTACCTTGCCATATATTTTGTTGGGTCGTCTGGCTTTGAGATCGGCTAACACCGTGTTGAGGTACTTTCGCACTTTTACTTTGCCTTGCCGAGCTGTTTTTGAGTTCGGTTTTAGTACTGGAAAGTGCTTTATCGGACTCGTTGCCTTCTGAACTACTTCAGAGTTCGGTATTTTTAAATGTACTGAAAAGTAATTTATCAGGCTCCTGGTTTCCGAATTACATTAGAGTTCGGTAATTTTATATGTAATGAGAAGTAATTTATCGGGCTCGTGGCCTTTAGTTTTAGGGCATTTCGGCCTTTGGGCTCGTAGGCCTTTAGTTTTACGGCATTGCGACCTTTGGGCTCGTAGGCCTTTAGTTTTACGGCATTGCGGCCTTTGGGCTCGTAGGCCTTTAGTTTTACGGCATTGCGGCCTTTGGGCTCGTAGGCCTTTAGTTTTACGGCATTGCGACCTTTGAGCTCGTAGGTCTTTAGTTTTACGGCATTGCGACCTTTGGGCTCGTAGGCCTTTAGTTTTATGGCATTGCGGCCTTTGGGCTCGTAGGCCTTTAGTTTTACTGCATTGTGGCCTTTAGGCTCGTAGGCCTTTAGTTTTATGGCATTGCGGCCTTGTGGCTCATAGGCTCAGCCGGAGTCGAGGCTCTACGGCGAGTAAACGTGGATGTCGACTCAGCCGGAGTCGAGGCTCCACGGCGAGGAAATATAGATGTCGAGTCAGCCAGAGTCGAAGCTCTACGGTGAGGAAATTTGGATGTCAATTCAGCCGGAGTTGAGACTCAACGACGAGAAAATATGGATGTCGACTCAGCCGGAGTCGAGGCTCTACGGCAAGGAAATATAGATGTCGACTCAGCCAGAGTCGAAGCTCCACGACGAGGAAATTTAGATTTCAACTCAGCTGGAGTCGAGGCTCTACACGAGAAAATATGGATGTCGACTCAGCCGGAGTCGAGGCTCTACGGTGAGGAAATATAAGTGTCGACTCGGACGGAGTCGAGGCTGTACGGCGAGGAAATTTGGATGTCGACTTAGCCGGAGTCGAGGCTCTATGGCGAGGAAATATAAATGTTGACTCAGCCGCAATCGTAGCTCTACGGCGAGGAAATTTGGATGTCGACTCAGCCNATATGGACATCGTCTCAGCCGGAGTCGAGGCTCTACGGCGAGGACATATGGACATCGTCTCAGCCGGAGTCGAGGCTCTATGGTGAGAAAATATGGACATCATCTCAGCCGGAGTCGAGGCTCTACGGCGAGGACATATGGACATCGTTTCAGCCGGAGTCGAGGCTCTACGGCGAGGAAATATGGACATCGTCTCAGTCAAAGCCGAGGCTCAACGGCCAGGAATAAGGACGTCAGCTCCGGCATAGATAAATTTGGCTCCGACGTTAATAAATGAACTCGACCTCGTCGTAGGTTAGTGAATCCGGCCCCAACATTGATAAATGAGGCTGAAAACGAGCAAATGATGAATCGGTCCGGTGGGGACTGGGCTTGTCTGCAAACGAATAATAACTCGATCTAGGTGAGTTGTTCCTAACGGCGAGTGAGTGATAAACCAACGCGGAGTGAATGAACCATGGACTGTCAATGAGTGAATTTTGCTTTTCTAACTGCGAGATCGGGCACCGATGGCAAGTCTGGGCTCTGTTGTGAAATTACTCCCATCTTGAGTAGTCGAACAAGTGTTGAGGTCGACCGAGTAATGAAGTCGACTTGTCTATTGAAGTCGGCCGATTTTGTACGACGATCAGCTAGGTCGGCCGTGATTAGGTCGCGATTTCGGGCTAGACAATCTTTGAAGTTGGTCATCCGTCAGTTGGTTTGGTAGATTAATTCGGACGACGAAGTGATCGGCCCGGTTACAATTTGGGGATCCATCGATGAACAATTGTTGTCTCTGGCCTTTTCGCTCTTTTATTCTTCTTTTTTTTAGTGGTTTGTATACATACGTGTACATATTTATTTTTTATGTATATATATGTATATATATATATGTGTGTGTGTGTGTGTGTGTATGTACGTACTTATAATGAAATTGAGTGTAGGATTACCTGGGGTCGGTGCGGAGTGTAGGCTTAAGAATACCGACTGAAGATGTCGGCTCCTTTTTCACCTTCATTCTTCTGGTCCCTGCCGAGCTCCTTGACTTCGAGGCTTTTGTTGCCTGACTCTACTTAATTCTATCTATTCCATCTATTACAATATTTACTAAGACCCCTAATAATACACTCTTGAAATGGGTTCACAGGCCCAAGCCTTTATGACCTTTAAGTAGCTCATAAGCCCACATTTATTCTAACCACTAGTCTAGATTCAATTGTATCTTGGGCCAATCTAGCATAAGCCCAACTTGATAATAGCTTATTTATGTCGGTCGGCCTTTTCTCTTCTCTTCCCCATTTGACACAGTCGCCGCCGACACTCATTTTTCTCTTCTCTCTTCTTTTCTTCTTTACTTTGTTTTTCACGTAATCGCCGACGAGACATACTACTCGTCGGCTCGGCAATTATCCGGAGGACTGCCTTGGGTTCAGTGATCCCAAGTCGGGCAGATATGAGGTCGGCAACGGCGAATTTGATCGGGGAAGGCGAGGTTGGCCGTGAGATCGAAGATGGCTAGACTGTGCCCGATGCGAAGTCTGCATCGGCGAGTTCGGCCACGGTGGCTGAGGCGGCGATGGTGAGGTCGTCCCCGGCTAGGCTGAAGCGGCGATGGTGAGGTCAAGGTCGGATCCCGACTGAAGCTCGAGGATTGTGCAGTCGAGGCCGGATCTGCCTTCTCGGCTTGGCGATTAGGAGTTCGGAATATCGCCTCAGCTGGCCGGGAAACCGTGGATCGTGATTTGTGACTTCGAGAGTCCGGGCTGATGGTTGGCTCGGAAAAGATGACGTCGGCGCCGGCTTTGAGTTGGGTGGTCGTGGTTGGTCGATGTTAGATCTAAGCTCGGCGTTCGATTTTCAGCTCGGGCTGTGGTCCGGCCGGCGACGAAGTCGGCTTGCGAGGTCGGCCTGACGGCTGCGATTGTGATCGGCGGCCGAATCAGCTCGAAGTCCGAGTTCAGCGTCGGGCTACGGCTCAAAGGTTCGGATTCCAGGTTGGTGCGCTCGGCCCCGATGACTGAGACTGGAGGTGCCGAAGTGATTTTCGGAGAAGACGAAATCGGGTCGGCCCCATCGACTGAGACCAAGCCGAAGTCGGGTAGGCCCCGATGACTGAGATCGGAGATGTCGAAGTGAATTCGGAGAAGCCGAAGTCTGGTCGGACTAGGTGATGCAGCTCAGCGTCTGATTCCAAGGATGGTTGACGGTCGGCCGAGCGGTGGTCTGACCGTTGCAAGGTCGGCACCGGCGGAGGCTTAATGGTCGGCTCGGTTGGTCGTGGCGAGGTTGGACCATAGAGTGCCGGTCAGCTTGTTCGGCGGTAAGAGTGCCGGTCCGGGTAGTGATTTGAGGCAGCTCGGTAACGGTTCGGAGGTTGGACCTGGTCTCAACGGTGGCAGCGTTTGGGTTGGCCGGACTGTGGCAGTGTGCTGGCTTGATGTTCGAACTGTGGTGTATAAAGGTCGTAATCTGCCGTCTCGACTGTTTTATGTGAATTCTGTATTTTTTCCCTTTTTTCTGTTATTGTTATTTATTTAAGGTGATAGTGACTTGAACAGTGTTGTACTGACAACAACAGTACCACTAACGTGGCTCAACTGTGGCCAAGTGGTATCACTCCAACTTTTTATTTAGCCAAAAACAGAAAAGGAAAAAAGAAATAGAAAAAGAGGAGTAGCGTGAAATTGAAGCACCAACTTCACAGATTCAGCGGGAATCAGAAAGTTTCACAGGTTCATCGAGAATCAGAAAGAGGGAAATAAGATGAGATTTTTTTTTTTTTTATTGATAGATGGGATCTGGGATTGGACGGGATCTCTCTCAAAATCGTAAACATATGAAATAAATACACATACCAGCACAACAAAACAAAAGCAAACGCAACCCTAAACTTGTCTGAATTTAATTCCCTTCGGCTCGCTTTAGGAATCCCCAATATTGCAAAAACTCATTTATCTAATTTTTGTTTTAAGAGGGATGAGATTCGGGGTATATACTTACACGGATATATTCTCGTGATAAAATCGGAGAGTGAGAAAAAGCAGTACACAAATATGGATATTCATGCCAAACTTGGAGAGAGCATATTCTGGTGGAGATGTTGCTGTTTTCCGGTAGGTTACACCAAACAACCGATGGTGCCCTCCTTCTAGCGCCAAATTGTTGACATCAAAAATTGTATCAACACCAAAGTACCATACGAATTTATACAAATTTGTTGGAAAATATACTCTTTGTTCATATGCATTTTTCTTTCTTTTATCTCCTCATATACAGATGAGGGAGAAGGATGAATAGTGAGGAAAGAGAGAGAAAAAGTCCCCCAGCGTTGTGAACCAATTCAAGCAGGACGAGGTACTGAACATACAGCGTTGCGTTCACACTAGGGACGGTACCGTAGTTAATCAATTCAAGTGTGAACGCAACCAATTCAAGCAGGACGAAGTACTGAACATACAGCGTTGTGTTCACACTAGAATTGATTAATTACAATAATTGACCCCCTCTTTATAGGTCCTCCCATGAGTGTCTAAAAAATAAGGATTAAAATACTACAATACATTTAATGCTATGCGACAACCGAGGGGCCCACTTGTGACGATCGATGGTTTTGATTGACGTCTACTTTATCGACAATTATCATATCTACTGGGGCGACTTCTTCTTGATATATGTGTCATCTGATTACTTCGAGGTCTGCTCGGTTCGGTAGTGGTCGGACTCGTCGGCTGGGGACCCGGTCAGCTTTTAGGCGATCGGTCTTGAGAACCTGTTTGTATATTTATTTATTATGTATTTTCGACCCGTTGGTTATCGGGCCGTTATCTATTATTTTATTTACCGTTTATTTAATCGGAACCAAATTGGGTATCAACATTATTTTTAATAAATAATTATTCTTATTATATTGATATATAGATTTTAAATGAGAGTGTAGAATAAATCAAGAATCATACATTGATTTAGATTTAATGAGTGTAAACCAATGTTAGAGTTGAATATGCCATAATTATATATCTAAGTACGTCGATTAACTTCCAAACGAGCAATGATACAACGATTTCTCCATTAAAATCCTCATGTTTCTACTTTCTATTGTCAAAATACACAAATATTTTTAGAATAAATTACCGTAAATTACTTTTTACAAATTAAGTGATAAACCTTTTATTAATTTGATTTGTAAAATTAAATTTATTTTAATAATGTAGTACAAAAATTCTATGGAGCCATCGGATGGTTTTTTTATGAAACCATCCACCATTTAATGTATTGACATGTGTCCAAAATATATTTATTGCAGGACACGTGTCAATACACTATTGGTGACTTCATAAGTCGAGCCATCCGTGGCTCCATAACAAAACTGTAATATAGTATTTGTTGAAACCGGGTGGCACAACAAAAAAATTGTAACAGGTAGGACTCTCTTAGTGGCATAATAGTCAATTGACCATGCCTTAATCACTCTCTACCTACTAACCTACGCCATCCAAGGCGCACGGTAGCACCGCGGGTCACTCCATTTTATACAGTATTTATTACCCAAAATTATAGAAATGGAAACAAAATTGAAAAAAATATTTTGCATTGCACTTGAGCAGAGAACCTCAAAAAAATTTGCTCCCATTCTTCATCGTTTTTGCTTCAATCCTCAGCGAGCTTGGCTCCGTTCATCACAAGGTGAGTTTAATTCTTTCTGTTGTTATCCTTTTTACTGCCAGCCATTTTTAGGGTTTTTTTTGGGAGGTTTAATCCATGCGCGCCTTCAGTTTTTCTTTGCTGAAGCTTCCCTTTCTGAACTGGAAATGCCCACAACTTGCATGTAAACGTACTCTTTTGGTGTGGGCAATCACGTGAACTAAAATATTAGTGGAATTCTTTTTATTAAGTGTAATGAAATAATGTTTGTACATGCTTATGTGGATGATTCATTGTTTTTTCTTTTTCCAATTTGTTTTGTATGAAGATTTTGAAAGAATGAGGGCATCAAACGAAGCTTCCACCAGCAGTGAGTTGATGAACACTTTATTTAGAAGCCGAAACGAGGTGGTATGTTGATATCAGTATTTAGTGAAATTATGGATTCGATTTGCCGTCTCTTGTGTTGGTAACCGATAATTATGCTGTCTTGCCGATGTTCATTATGGGTTGTTTTTGTAATTTTTTTTCTGCACCCCTTTTGCAAAGGGTTTGATTTTTACAGGGTTTTTACTTATTTTTTATGTTGAATAAACTCATTCCGATAATTCTGTATGCTCGCAATTGACGATTCTAATAATTAAATTTTGACTCGGAATGATGCATAATGATGGGCAAGAATTAGTTCTATGTTACCTTGCTAAGGTTTCCAGCTAGTGCAGTTCATTTAATTCTTTTTGGTTTCAATTAGTTGAGGAAGGTTTGTCTCTCATATAACTATGTTCCATAATAGGTCCTTGATTTAATTGCTGCTGTAAAAGGACTTCACGAGCTTAGCCCACAGCAACTTACCAAACTTATCAGGGATTCTGGAAACAATATCGTTCGGCATATTGCTGAAGATGGATCACACATACAGGTTCTTCTTTTGGCAAAACTAAATCTGTTTCCTTCTTTGTCTTCTTCCCTAAAGTTGTTGATGGTGTAAGTATTTGAACTCTGATGACATGAAGAAATTGATATACCATGGATGATTATTGCAGGTGGACTTGGAAAAATTTGCAAGATATCTTCCTCTACACCTTATTGCAGTGATTATGGCCTGGGAAAGGGACAAGGCCACATTCAAGTATTTGTTATGTGGAGTTCTTTTGTTACATTCTATGTGTGACCTTGCTTCCCGAGTTCCCAAAATTGAGCAGGTTAATCAGAACTTATCTCGTTCCTGTCTATTACATGCAGCGGTTAATTATTTACTTATAATTGGAGCATATTTGCAGCTTGATGACTTGGGTTCCTTTACTTGTAATTTCACATTGGAAATTTGTCTCTGACAAAAGTATAATATACAATTCTATTTTTCATGCCATTGCCCCTTCGTTTTTCCTCGAGTTCTCTGTTCTTAATTGTATGCGACTTCATATATTTTTATTGTATGTAATAATTTAAGGTACTTATGTATCTTCATATCATGTGGTTATTCGATCATCAGTGTGTGCTACAGATATTGCTTGACGATGTGAGAGTATCTGAACAGCTGCTTGACCTGGTTTTTTATCTGCTAGTTCTCCTTGGTGCATACAGACAGGTTGTTTTCCACAGTCCCGTATATGCTAGTTCCTCCTCCATCCTGTGGGTGTGTATTAAGTACTGACAATGTTGTTGTTCTAGGAGAATCAGAATATTCCCAATGATATGATTCTCTTGCATTCAGCCCTAGTGGCCTGCACTCTAAAACTGCTAATGGTGATTGTCTCACCACAGTACCAAGACGTTGCTCAAGTTTTGGCTGCCTATTACAAAGTAAGTTTACGGGTCTTCATATATTGTGGCAGGGTAAAATATTATCAATCCTGTGACAAAATTTCACGATTAACATTTGAATCAACTTCGTTCATTATAATTTTAATTCGAGCTTAATTTCTCTTCTCAATTTTTTGGCTGTCAGTAACGTCAATGCACTTTCTTCAATTTCTTGGCAGGTTGATATATTTATGGACTCCACATTTTCTGCCGTTTGTATAGATGTCAAATATCTGCAGACAAAGCTTTCTATTGAACAAACCGAGTCCACTGCTGGTACTACACCCCCTACTGCAGAAGAAACCTTGAATCATCTTTGCCAGCAGTGCGACTCCTCTCTTCATTTTCTGCAGTCTGTATGTCAACAGAAGTCGTTCCGAGAACGCATTGTTAAGAATAAGGTTTTTGTTTTCTTCCAGTTTCCCTTAGATTTTTGCTGTGTGTGAAAATGTTGGAAATGCGTTATGATGTGAAATGTGGCAAACGACTTGATTCTTCTCAAAGAAAATTAGACTCGAAACTTCTAGTTTTGCAAGTTGCTGATTGAGCAACCGTTATGTGTGCTTAACCTAAATAGGTTGATATATTTCGTTAGATCTCAAATTTTGCAAGTTGCTGATTGAGAAACTGTTACGTGTTCGAATTCAAAACTGAAAGTTATCAGTAATATTAAGTTCTTCCTGATCATTTTTGGTTTCCTCTGTTATTGAATTCCAGGAGGTTTGTGGCAATGGAGGCGTTCTTGTACTGGTTCATGCCGTCTTGAACCTTAAAATATCGCCCTTGTATCGTACATCCTCGTATATGGTGTCTATCTCTCGGTTGAAGTCTAAAGCTTTATCTATTGTAAGTTCACATCTTGTTAAATTGGCAGACATGGGCCATATGGCTTTTGTTGTTTCAGTGGGAAAAAAAACTGGACTTTGATCTGTTTTTTTGTTTGGTTGTGTATATAGACCTTCAGTTTTCAAGTAACCGCAATTTATTTTGCTGCAGCTCTTGCACCTATGTGAAGCAGAATGTGTCTCCTACTTGGATGAGGTTGCCGGTAATCCTAGAAGTCGGAATCTGGCGAAGTCTGTTGCACTACAGGTTTTGGTTTCATCAGTAAAAGTTAATCTCGTACATTTTTTGGTTTCGAATTTGGCAGATGATATATGTGCCCATGTTTGAGTAGAAATCACACATTCTAGTGTTCACAAATGAATTACTTCTGAAGTATATGCGACGATCTTCTAATTAAGATGCCAAGTGGTGCATAGTTTGCTTTTTATTTCCCGTGATTTTTGTTGTTGAGGGGTGGGTAGCCTTTTGAATCTTGATGTCTATTTTTTGCATACCTGTCTGGGTACCCAAGTGAAGCGGTTTTTTTTTTCTTGTTTAGGTTCTTGAATTGTTAAAGAAGACATTTGGTATTGATTCCAAGCAGTCAACAGTTTCTTCTGAGATAGTTTATTCAAAAGGGCAACTGGAACTTAATGCAATGCGCCTGACGGATGTCTTCTCTGATGATTCAAATTTTCGTTCATTTGTCATGTTGAACTTTGTAAGCTCTCTACAGTCAAGAAACCCTTGCAGATATGATTTTATCTTCTCTTTTTTTTTTTTTTTTTTCNTCATGATCAACGGTTTATTATATGCCAGCATGATATCTTGACTGAATGAAACTATATCCTATAATATTATACATGAAAGTTGGAATGAAAGCGAGCATCACAAACATGCAAGAGCTACTGTTAGTGATTTACTAGGCGTTTCAGTCATTTTTTTAATTACCTGAACTTGTTAAAGTTGTTGGCTTATTTTCTCTGAATTAAAAAATCTCATCGAGAAATTCCTCATCAGGGAAACCATGTTTTGGAATTTAATTCTTTGTTTATCTTGTGCACTGGATTTTCTGGACAACAATTTTATAAGATTATGAATTTTTATTCAATGTATCACACTTATATTTTTATGTGCCATTTAGTGTCTACTCTTTTACCTTTAATAGAAATTGGCTGCAAATCTATATATCCAGTACTCATTGGATGTGTGCATGCATGTTCTTTTTCCCTCAGACGGAAACTTTGGCAGCAATCTTTCTACTCCCACATGGAGAGTTCTTACCTGGTTGGTGTTCATCTGATTTTCCAGCATGTGAAGATGATGGGACTTTGGAGTATGTATCATTCAGTTTATTTAATGGTTCAAATTTCTCTCATATTAAATTAATTAAATTTATAAATAACAATTTTATGTAGTTTCTATTGGTTTTAAGGACAATTAATGACTCATATTGTTCCTTGCAGCGTACCTCGTGCATCCTATGCTCATCAGAGAACATCCTTACTAATAAAAATAATCGCAAATCTTCACTGTTTTGTTCCTGATGTCTGCCAAGGTAATTAGTACGCAATTTCGTAGTTTCCATTTAGATATTATATTTGATCTTATACGATAATCGTTAAGCTTTCCTTCAATTCCAGATGAGAAAGATCACTTCCTAAATAAGTTCGTGCGGTTCATTCAGAAGGAAGTTATCCAACCCTCAGATGGATGCTCTTCTTCTTTCAATACTGAAAGAACTGGAACAGTTTGCAAGAACTTATGTAAAACTACTGATCAATGTTGCACCTGTTAAGATAAATTGGATACACATCTCTATTTTCTGAGTGAGTATTTCCATGCAGGTTCATTGTTAAGTCATGCAGAGTCTTTAGATCCCCGGTTTCTAAACGAAGAAGATGTGCAGCTCCTAAGGTTATTTTGATAATTTTCTTTCCTTCTTCAGTTCTTTATCCTTTTTTCCTGTAACTTTGAATATTCAATGGTGTCTGCTTGGTAAAATTAGAGTACTTTCGTGTGTTATGACGGCAATATTAATTTCATATTGCATATGTATTTTGTAACTTAAATTTTAAATTTATGTATGTGCTATGATGGTAATACTTCACACTGTGTATGTCTTTTATATCTTAAATTTTGATTGCCCTTATAATTCTATATTCTAATAGAAATGACTTTCTGTGTAGGTTATTTATCAATCGGTTTGACTCTTTGGCTGTTACTGCCACAGCTGAAGATCATCTTATACAAGTAACTATTCATCTTTTAGTATTTAAGTTTGTTCTTTCTTTTATGAACATCTACTCCCTCCTTTGAAAACCTTCTTCTTATTGCATATTAAAAATAGTCTTGAAATGGTCCTTTTATGCTACCGAACTAGACTGCTGCAAGAAATTAAGTGATAACTTTCATGAATCAGAAATACATATATTGTGTGAAATGATAACCTTTTAAAAGGATAAATATAACTTCGAGATCTCTTAGCGTATGTGAACTATATAAAAGATTTTTTAATAACTGAAAATTTTCTGGTATCTGTCAGGATGCTCGACATAGAGGAGCCTGCTCTTCACAATTACATATAGAAGCAACATCAAACCAATGCATTGACAGAGAAACTAAACCAAACGGGCGCCATATAAATTCAAGAGAAATCGAGAGGGATGCCCGAGCTTTCGAGACGAGCGGGTCAGATTCCAGCCCCACACGAGGAAAGAACTCTACCGAGCGTATGGATATCGATCACTTCAAAGGGAGTAGTTTCGAGGAAGCTATGGACGATGAAAAGGCCGACGCCACACATTCTGACGAGAAGCAGCAAAGGAAACGTAAGCGGACTATAATGAACGACAAGCAGATAGCCCTCATCGAGTCTGCTCTCGTGGATGAACCCGATATGCACCGTAATTCGGCCTCTTTGAAATCGTGGTGCGACAAATTAAGTCTCCATGTGAGTAGATGTATTTTTCATTTTTGTTTGGAATATGTTATCCTGTTATTTTTTTTCTATTAATTTATTGTTCATGTTCTTTTCTCAGGGAGCTGAGGTTACTACTTCAAGACTCAAAAATTGGTAAGAGACCCCTGATATTCTTACACATGATTTTTCATGCTTTTTTTTATTCGGTTTAGATTAATTATGCGTTCTGGTTAAAACATCCATTCCATGAAATTTTTGATAGTAAAACTACTATTGCCTATGCTTCTGAGGATAAGGGTGTGTTTGTATATAAAATAACTCAATTTATACTCAAAATTTAACTCAACTTTAACTCAACCCCACAATCATCAATACTATCAATATTACTAAATTACTAAATAATATTAATCAATCATTCTTACATATTACATCAACTTTATTTCACTATTCGTCCACTTACAAAAATTTTAACTAACCATCACTTCACATTATTTCTTTCCTTCTTTTACAGAATCAATTTTAATTATTTTACTTTAAATATTATTTTAATATAAACTCAAAACTCCACTAACAACTAACCATATCACATTTTTTCAAAATTAACCATGGTTAATTAAAAAAAAAAAAAAAAAAAAAAAAAACTCATTTTGAGTGGATATATTTGTATCCAAGTACGTCCTAACTATATGAAACTTCAAGTCCCTCTTTCTCCATGTTTATCACAACAGGCTCAATAACCGAAAAGCAAAACTCGCACGTGCTGCCAAGGACATCCGTGCACCGTACGAAGGTGATTCCCACCTTCTCGAAAGACAAAGCAGCGGGACTGCAATTCACTCGGATTCACCCTCGAGCCCAATCGACGACTCTCAAGCCCAGCCCACTTCAAGAGAGAGTCCCAAAGAGGCCCAACACAACAACCCATTATTGACTACTGTTGCCAACGAGGATTTACGAGCTTCCCGTGCTGCTGCTGCTGCTGCTGCTGATGATGGTGCTGGAGATTTTGTGGGACCCAGTTCGTACTTAGAACCAGGACAGTACGTAAGAATTTTGGGCGAGAATGGAGAGGAAATTGGGAGGGGAAAAGTATTTCAGGTCTGTGGGAAATGGTGCGGGAGGAATTTGGACGATTCTGGCGTGTGTGTTGTGGATTTTGTCGAGCTTTTGGTAGATAGGCTCTCGGAACTCCCGCATCCTATGGAGGACACGGGTAACTCGTTCGATCAAGCCGAAAAACGGCTAGGGTGGGTGAGGGTGTTGTGGGATTCGAATAAGCTTTCCCCAGTGCCACCTAGGTGAATCGAATTGGGCTACGTTCTGGTGTGGTAAGATGAGAAATGTTTTTCATATGCATTTTTGTTGATAGAGTATGGTGAATCGACCTGTCTAACAGTTAGGCCGCCTCGCACAAGAATTTTTGATTATCAGATAAACAAATATATCTTATGACCCGTCTCATGGTTAGTCTACTCACTGTGCAGATCGCCAAAATGCAGCAACTTTTTGATTGAAGTTGATTTTGCTTCACGGTTGGATTGCAACGGGAAAGAAGTCGTTTGGTGATGAGATAAAAATGGCAATTTAGCAGATCGTTTGTAAGAGCAGGTGTTTCGTTCCCAAAGGGGAAAAAAATATGTGATTGAGTACCCAAATTAAGAGCCATGCTGTAACATGTCTGGAGTCGAGTTCGTGATTTCTGTACAATTTTCGGTTGCTGGCCTGTATAGAACCATGCCAAAATTAGGATTTAGACGTTTTTTTTTTTTTTTTTT